TCGAACAAATTTTTCTAGCCCTTTGTGCCAAACACCTGACTAGATTCCGTTTTTGTTGGAGAGGTACGAAACTAGCAAAGTTCGTGTATTGTCCAGACCAGGTTTTCTTTCGTAGACACTCCTTCGGATGCTACCGTCAGATCTCCTGTTTAGAAGGACATCTAAGAAAGGAAGCGAACCAGCTGACTCCATCTCCAACGTGAATTTGATCGACGGATGTGCCTGATTTGCAGCATTTAGGAGGGCAGCGACGTCGGTTTCTGTAGTTGCAATCGCAAAGATGTCATCAACGTAGCGACCATAATGTTTAAGCTTCTTGATCTGATCGCTTAGTTGAAATCTCTCCAGCTTGCCCATGAAGACGTCGGCTAAGAGAGGTCCAAGAGGCGAGCCCATGGCAACGCCGTCTATTTGTCTATAGAGTTGGTTGTCAAAAAGGAACTGCACATTTAATGTGCATCTAAGTAATATTTCCTTGAGTGTTTTTGTCGGCAGTCCTATTTCTTGATGACTGGCAGATAGAAAATCACAGATGTAGTCAACTGTCTCGGTGACTGGGACGTTTGTAAAAAGTGATGCGAAGTCTAGTGAGAACATCATCATGCCGTCAAGGTTGAGGTCTTTAATGTCGTCAATGAATTGAAAGGTATCTCGATAGCTGCGTGGTGCCAGCTGATGTTGTATGGGCTTGAGCTTCTCTGCTAACCACTTAGCTATCGCATGATACGGAGAGTTCCGCATATCTAAAATCGGGCGAACCGGTAGGCCTTCCTTATGGATCTTAGGTAGGCCATATAATCGGGGAATATGTGTCCCGACTGGCCGGAGGTGTTCGAAGTCTGGGTAATTTCTTGAGGGTTTCGGTGGGCGTTTTCGTACTTTCGTGTCCTTTCTGTGCTGCTAGATTTCAAGGCTGGGCCTCGAGTCCCCAACCGGAGCCTGGAGGGTTCCAGACCGTCTTTGATACCGTGAGGTCCTTGTTTACACTGCGAACGTACTTCAGTCATGCGCGCATTTTTATCATACTGGTTGACGCCATTCTCACTGCCGTAGCTGATATTATGACAAACTCTTGCGATCATATATCTTGCTACGTATGGTGCTACCTTGGCTCTTACAGGAGGACTAGGTCTTAGGGAATTAGTGTTTGCTTGACTTTCCTTCGATCTTCATCATTATTTTTTCCATGTCTCGGTTTTGGATCCATCCATCCTGCCGTCGAACACAGTCGTCCTCGTTACCTATCTTTAAGGTCACTGTTGGGTTGTAATCCAACTTTGGTGATTTGTGCAGGTTTTTATGTGTCGCCAGTTTTCTCTGCTAGAGCGCTTTCTGTTGATAGTGTTTTGTATGAACACTGTGTCCTATTGGTTTCCTGGTAGCCTGACGCTATTTTGGGGCGGGATAACACCCTGCGTGGCTGGGGCAGGCTTTTCACGTGCAGCTTCATAGAAGACCGCCTGATTGCCCTCAGATGGTGCCCTGTTTCTCTTATGACCGAATTAAGCTGCGGATCCACCTTCACTCGTATTTTTTTCTACACTTTCGGTTGGCATCCATACAGGCCCAATTGACACGGGTAGCTCTCGTCTTGATCACGGAATTCCCCTCTCTCTCTCCCTCCCCCCTCTCTCCCAAGTCCTCACGGCAAAAGTCTCGAACAACCCATAGAGTAAAATGCAAATGACCTCGGAATGCCCGCTACCAAACTGAATAAGACGTATTGCCAGAGAATCACACATGTCGTTGGCATTCGACAAGCCAGCCACGACATTTATGGAGTCCAGTTAATAGCGACTTTGTTGTGCTAAGAAGTGGGTCGCGCATGCGCCGCGGTAGCCATCTATCTGCAATTCAGCAACTGTGTGTTGAACTCGCAGTGGGTGTTAAACAAGGTCAACCGAAACTCACCACTCCACAGACCGATGCGCATTTGAAGAAAAGACGTATGTTTTAACACGCTCTTTTTGCAGCGATTCGGGGTTGCTCATTGAAGGACTCTTGCCAGCCCCCCTCGATCGCATAGAGTAGACTGTTCGAAGTATTTCTGTCCGTGTTTTCTTTCGAAAATGACCGGATAAATAACCAAGGTACAAGCAGCAGATTTACAGATAAATAATAGAGGCTCATCTACTCTAATACGTGCTGAAATTCGTAAAATATTGGTTTTCGATGTCAGCATGCTCACAGCTAGAAGGCATAACGTAGGTGTGATGCTGTTAAGCGTGGCCGAGTACGTCAAGTTAATTCGACCAGTTTGCTGAGGTGCCACCACCACCACCACCACCACCACCACC